TATATATATATATATATATATATATATATATATATATATATATATATATATATATATATATATATAGATAGATAGATAGATAGATAGATAGATAGATAGATAGAGAGAGAGAGAGAGGGGGGGGGCTATTTTTCTAGCTTTTTGAGTTGCAAAGTTATTAATAATCTTTTTATAATCTATTTCCTCTAACAATTCTTTTTCAATTGATAAAATGGCCAATCCATTTAATCTCTCTTGAGACATAGTTGATCTTAGATAAGATTTTATCAATTTTAATTTTGAAAAACTTCTTTCCGCCGAGGCAATTGTTACAGGAACTGTTAACATTATTCTATAAGCAATATAGGCCTTTGGAAAAGAATCAAGTCTTTTATCTGATTGAGTATGTCTACTAGAGTATTATCTTGTACTTGTACTATTTTCCTTAATACTTTTAATTCAGAAAATAAGTCTAGACCATCAATATCAGAGTGACTATTATGTCTTAAAGACCTTTCAAGGTTAAGACAATATTTTTTCAAATTCTCATCATCTAATGACTTTAATTTTTTACCACTAAACAAAAAACCAAAAAAACGTTCATACGCTTCTAATTGTTCAAATCTATTATGAAGTGAAGAATGGCTTGTTCTACTATATATAAAAAGTAATCTACTCTAAAAGATTCTTCAATAGACTTTGTGGTTTCATTATTAACATTCTCATCAAATTATTTTTTTCTATATATTACTTGTTTTTTACAAAATTCAGGTTCTATATTCATCTCAGAAGCAGTTTCTGTTGGACTCATGGACTATTTGGCATCTGGGCCCAAAAGGAAAGATTGATTAGCATAGTCTCTATTTATTTTACCACTTGATTTGGGCGTATTGTAATTACGAAACTAGCCCAACTTATGTTTAGTAGTTAGTCTTTCCAGACTTTTGTATTATTATGTGTATATTGGCCTGTATATATAGAAACAGGGTCAACCCGGCTCAGACCATCGAGGTTATTTTTCAATTAAGTTCTAGAAAAATCCTTCTTCTCTCTTCTCTCTCACATGAACCCTAATACCTTTTTCCAAAATCCCGATCGATTCCTCCATGTTTTCATGGTATCAGAGCGAGATTCTGGACCATCTCGTCCTCCTCTATCTTCCGATGTTAGCTTCATCGTGTTTCGTTGAGGATTTCGATTTGTGTGGGTAGCGATTTAGAGTCTACATACTGTTTTCTTCGACGGATTTCCTGCTCATTTTGATTCATTTGAGTATTTTCTGACCTTGTGTTCCTCTTTCGTCTACTTGTGGAGGTTTTATCTACAAATTCGTGTAGTCATCGTTAAGCTCAAGATTTCTAGGGTTTTACGACTTCACCCTATTTCATTAATCATGGTTGTTGTGTTTCTGTGAAGAGTTGTTTGGTTGTTATGCTACTGTGAGTTGTAGTTTTGAAGGCCGTACTTACGGTTGCAAAGAATCCGGTAGCTCTGTATATTTCCCCTCTTTGCATGAGATTCATCGGATAAATTTTTCATTGTTTAATGTTATAGTAGCTATGGGATCTACTGATTTTGATTTGAGTACTGCATCTGGTACACTTGAGTTCGTTCCAAAACCTTCTAGTCCTTTGTTTGTGCAGTCTTCAGATGTTCCAGGTGTTTCACTTGTGCCAGTTCCTTTCTCTGGGACGAATTTTGGGGGTTGGAAAAGGAGTATAATTGTTTCTTTGTCTGCTAGTAACAAAATTGCATTTGTTGATGGTAGTTTGCCCAAACCTCCTGATAATCCCATCGAGTCTAAGCAGTGGGACAGATGTAATAATATGGTAATTTCATGGTTAACAAGTTCTTTGTCTCCTGATATTGCGGATAGTGTCCACTATTCTGAAATAGCTGAAGAAATATGGAGACAGTTAAATAAAAGATATGGGACAGTAAATAGAACTAAAGCCTTTGAAATTAAGAAAGAACTAGCTTCTACCTGTCAAGGTTTCCAAGATATTGCCTCATACTTTAACAAACTAAAGAAATTGTGGGATGAATTGAGAGTTGTTTGTACAAATCATGGAAATCACTGCACTTGTGGTGCAAAGGAAGGTATTCTTAAAGAGAAGGAAGAGGATAGACTTCATCAGTTTCTCATGGGGCTGAATGAAGTCTATGTTAGTGTCAGGAGAAACTTGCTCATGATGCAACCATCTCCAACACTAGACAGTGCATATAACATCCTTCTTCAAGATGAAAGGCAGAGGCAGATCAATTCCAACTCTCAGTTTGGTCCTGATTCAGCTGCTTTCACTGCCAAAATCAATCTCAACCATCAGTCCGATCCCAACACAAATTATAGGCCTCCTGGTTCCAACACTCAGAGACAGTATGTCCAAAGATTGAACTTTGATCAAGCCAAAGGGAATCTATTTTGCAGATATTATAAGAAGAATGGGCACTTAATGAATAAGTGCTTCAAGCTTCATAGTTTCCCTCCTGATTTCAAATTCACCAAAGGGAAGAAAATTGCAGCAAATGCGACCGTTGGAATAGATTTTTCTTTTGATGATTGTATAAATTCTTCTTCTCTTCCTGCTTTGGAACTACCAACAATGATTCACAGGGTTCATTAGTACCTGGTTTAACCAAGCAGCAATATTCTCAGCTAATGGCCCTACTACAACATTCGCATGCCTCTGATTCTGCACCATCTCAATCTGACCTCATGGCTTCTGCCAATTTTACTGGTAATGTGCTCATTCTCAAAGTAGTGACTTGTTATCTAGTTTACATGTTAAGTCAGTCCTCACCCAATAAATGGATTATTGATTCTAGAGCATCTGATCACATGACTTACAACAAGGATCTTCTAACCAATATTACACATTTGCCTATTCCTTATCTCGTCACACTTCCTAATAGATATAAAGTTAAAGTTACTTGTACTGGGACTTTTTCTTTATATCCTTCTATTGTTCTTCCAGATGTTCTTTACATTCCCTCTTTCAAACATAATCTAATTTCTGTGCACAAACTTGTTTTGTTATTGAGATGCATTGCACAGTTTAGTTCTGACTCTTGCTTTCTACAGGGCCCTTCTCTGAAGATGCCTCTGGAGCTTGGTAAGCAAGAGGATGGGCTTTACAAGTTTACCTGTACCACTGCCTTTTCTTCTTCAGCTAAAAATGTTTTTACTATGCCTACTACATGTAGCTTTCCATCTTTACCTCCTACTATTATTGATCCTAGTTCTAGTTCTAGTTCATTGTGTAATTCTAGTTCTTCTCAGAATGTTTTGTTTCAATCTATTCCATCTTGTAATGAAGCTGCATTGAATAAAATGGGCATTATTTGGCACCAAAGACTTGCACATGTTCCTTTTGTTAGAATGAAGGGCATTTCTGCTATATCTTCCTCTTTATCTTCCAAACAACATTTTCCCTGTGAAATATGTCGTATGGCTACAAACCAGACTCTCTTTCCTTGATAGTTCCATTCATAGTACTCATCCCTTTCAACTCATACATGTGGATACTTGGGGACCCTACCACACTCCTACACATTCTGGTTCTAGATATTTCCTAACCATAGTTGATGATTTCTCTAGATTTACTTGGACTCATTTAATGGGCTCCAAAAGTAATGCCTTTTCTTTGATTAAAGCTTTCGTGGCCATGGTCAAAACCCAATTCCACATTACTGTTCAAACAATTAGGAGGGAAAATGCCCTAGAACTTGGGGATAGTCATTCTGCCATTTCCTGTTTCTCTGACGAAGGTATTATTCATCAAACTACTTGTCCCCATACACCACAACAAAATGGGGTGGTTGAAAGGAAGCATAGAACCTTGCTTGAGGCTTGTAGGGACTTTGCTTTTTCAATCCAAAGCTCCTATTAGGTTTTGGGGGGATTGTTAGCTCACAGCAACCTACATCACCAACAGGCTCCCATCTAGGCTTCTCCACAATAAATCACCTTTTGAAGTCCTTTACAATAAAACTCCCTCTTATTCTCACTTAAAAACCTTTGGATGTCTGGCTTATGCTACTGTACCTATTCCTCATAGGGATTGTCGCGCCCCCTTTTTTCCTCCGCGGGGAGAAGTCCGGGTTTTGACATTCACGGGGTGTAATGACTCATTTCCTTTTGGGAATTGGGTATTTGAAGAGTCGCCACCTAGCGATTTAAGGTGCGTTAGGGCACCTAGAGTAATTAACTCTTGGGTTGGTTTGCATTACCACAGATTAGGGTAAGGGCTCGAAGTAACCTCGAGGGGAAGGTGTTAGGCATCCCTCTTTGTCCATAAATGTGGGTCCCGGCCGAACTTATATTCACAAATTAGTCCATAAACAAACAATTGAAGCAAATGATTGCAAATAAAGCATGTTGGGCATTGTATAAAATAAGAATTTAAACGGGTTGTAAAAAAAAGGGAAAAATAAAGTTTCAAGCAAAGAGGGTTTGGGGGAGAGGGAGGTCCTAGGTTGGTTAGCCTATAGGATCAAGTCAGTACAATGCTCGGTAATCACTCCTTTAAAAGGGGCTACGCGTGGCATTAGCGCACCGGTCATCATATCCATGTCTACCCTTCCCATCCCCTTACTGGTCATGCAAAGCGAGTGTTGGTCAGCGATCTCTATTGCGTGCTGCTACCCGTCCCTTCTCAGTGGTCCTGGAGGGAGTTAGGACCTCTACCTATAGGTGGTTCTAGACGTACCCCTAAGGTTTTAAAAGGCGAAAATTCTAAGGTGACAGTCAAAACATTTAGGACTTTCACATAATGGGAGCAATTACGAGGCCCACAGTTCCCTCCTCAAACATACACACAAGCAGCACGTCTCAAGCACAATTAAGGTCTTTAAAGTCCTAAAGCAGGATCTCTAAGTGAATGTGCAGAAATAGACCAAACTTTATACCAAAAGGTTGTAACCTAGTAGCTGCCTTGGGATTCTTTTAAAAGTTATTAGAATCAGAAACATTAAACGGCGGAGAAAGAGCTTCAGGGGAATGTGGTCTTTGAAAATGCCCTAAAGCTTGCCTATATGCAGTACTGTGTCTATATTAATGCAGAAACAAACAGGTTTTCGAAATAGACCCTTTTAATACCTATAGGCAGGATATCTAATGAGATTAAAGCAATTACGAAGGGACCGGTTTCAGGAAATGTTGACACTTAATAAGACCAGTTATAAGAAATAAACTAGGCGAAATGAAATTGATTTATTAGGCCAATTAGATTATCAGACATAGTTGCGAATAGAAATCCCTATAGGCATGGTACCTAGGCGTATTACTGGTTTTGGTCATTTTAACTGTTCCATATTCCTAGGNNGAGCTTTAAATCAAAACTAGGACATACCAGTGAAGGTAGAAGTAAGCAGAATGAAAGAACCAAAGAGCACAGATGATTAGCCTTGGCTTTCAGCCAGCTAACAGTAGCAAATAGCACAAGAGAGAGGGAGAGCAGACTTTCTAGTAAGAGAGGTAGCTTTTGAAAACCAGTCTGCGTCTTGTTTGTGAAAGACTTAGAGTATTTATAGTTGAAAGTAGGTAGTGAAATAAGGTAAAAATCATAGTAGTATACTAATTTAAGAACTCAGAATCAATCAATTAGAGAATCAAGGAAGTACTCCCTTAAGTTAAGGGAATCAAATCAAACGAGGAGATTCAATATCATATAAGGCAAGAAAAAAAATCAGTGCATGACTAAATAAGGAAGGAGTCAAGGTTCAATAAGCATAGAGTAGCTGATTAGGACCAAATTCATAAAGCCTTAATTAAGGACACAGCTCAGTAGAAATAAGCATCATAGCAAATATGGCAAGGAAATCAGTCAGCTTAAACAGACGGGGTAAAGCTTGTAAGGCTTTAAAAGAAAATCTTTCAATCTCCATCAATTAAGGAAATCAGAATCAATCAAGAGGGAGTCATAATTCTGTATGTTCAACATATAAATAGAGGAGCTCAACAGACGTAGCAAAGGCAAGGTTAGCCATATTGACAGCAAGAAGCAAGAGATAAACAAAAAAAGTGAGCATGGTCACACAGAAGTGACATAAGTAGGCTAGGAATTTAGTAAACACATTCGAAGCCTGGTGACTACGATAGGTCAACAAGAATCAAATAAACAGGCTAATACACAGAACCGAGGCAAAGAGAATCATGCTGACACACAGAACCAAGGCAAAGAAAATCATGCTAACACATAGAACCAAAGCAAAGAAAATCTTAAAAATTAGGGCTTTAACAGAGTCGAGTTAAAAAAATAGTAGGAGCATAAAATTGGTCAAAAAATAAGCAAGGAGAAAGGTTTAATCATAAGGAAATCGATTAAAACAAGCGTAGAAGGATCTCCGAGAAACCCTAGTTTTTTAAAGAAAGTAAAGACGGTTTAAAGTGGAGGATCTTTAAGAAGAAGCTCGAGAATAAGCAAATCATCGAAGGAAATAGGCTTAAAGTGTAAAAATAACACAGATCTGAGAGATTCAGAAGAGAGTTAGGGTTTCAAAGGGAAACCCAAATAGAAATCGAAAGAACCTGTTGCAGACTTCAGCGATCATAACATATAAGGTGTGATTTTGCTCAAAATCACACCGGAGAAGCCATAAATAACAGTAACAGAAACCCTAGGTCCAAATCGGCATGGCCCAGGACCCTTGAAGGTCTTAGAGATGATGAGCAAGGCGATGAGAGACTCATTGGAGGCTTGGGTTGAAAGGATGGTCGCCGGAGATGACCGGAGAAGGAGGCGTTTGATAGAGTCTAGGGTTAGGTTTGAGAGAGGAGAGAAGATGAGAGCATCTGAGGGCGGCGGGGATTTGGAAAGTGAGTAGGGTAAGGGGTCGTTTGGGAATTAAAAAGGAAAGGAGAAATGAGGGCCGTTGATTTAAAACATCAATGGCCAGGATTTAAAATAGCTTGTGTCAGGTAGTGGGTAATTGGATCTGGGTCGAGGTATTAAGTATAAAATTGGGCTGGGATTGGGATCCGATTTGGCTATAATTGAAAGCCAAATTTGGCTGTTATTTAAATAGCCAGTTTTTCCCTATTTTAATTTTAATAAATAATAAGCAATTTCTGGAAAATAATTCAAGGTACCAAAATAATTTAAAATACATAATTAACATTTTAAAAATATAGGGGTCAATTTTACACATATAAAATATAATTATATCTTAAAAAGGGCCAATAACACAATTACATGCAATTTAGCTTAAAAATACTAAATGTAATTGTAAGAATACATAAAAATCACATTAGCCATATTTTGGCATAAGTATAGAATTTAAATAAATAAATTATCAAAACAATAATTTTGGAAATAGTTATTGGGGATTTTATGGATAAAAGAGAAGAAAATAAGTCAACTTAAACCCTTAAAATTATGAGAAAAATTACAAAAGCCTTGTGTATGCTTATATATGCATACATATGCTATTTTGAAGGTATTTATGCATATTTAAAATATATAGGGAAAAATTGGGTATCAACAGCTGCCCCTCTTTACCCGGGAAGGAAGAAAGAGTTTTCGGGTAAAGAAATGATGGCCAATTTTGACCGAATGGGATGCTTCAGAAGACGGAGGCCGAACTCCAATTTTCGAGTTGCCTACATATCCCTGGTTTTACAGGA